GGGAAGGGCGGGAAGAGGAGCTTCCACCTCCCCGGGAGCGGAGCGGGCAGCTAACGGCCCCGACTGTTTGCAGATTCCCACGAGAAGATCTGCCGCTACATTGCCAGGGAAAGCCAGTCGGTGGTCGTGTCTGTGGGGTGAGTGATGTCGGCACCGCTGCTCTTCGCTCCTCAGCACCACGGAGCTGCGCGCCTGGTGGGAGCACTCCTCCTCGGGAAACCATTTCCCCAGGCTCCCAGGTGCTCAGGCAGAATTTCAAGGGGAGTGTTTTCATTTCTTCCCCCTCCCAGTCTGCTAATGCAGACCCCAAAGTCAGGGTCACACATCTCCCAGCTCGGAGCTGTGCTGGGGCCATACAGAAAGAGGGAATGCCTTCCAGAAGAGTTTTGTAACCTGTTGAGAAGAGACTAACGAACAAACTTGGAAGGTGGTGATTCAGTGATCTGTTTAATTAGATATAATCACCCTGTAAATGTCAAGGTGCTTTCTAACAGTAAGAATTAAATGCTAATATAACAATAATACAGAAGAATATGACTCTGTCCCATTTATTTAAATAAACCAAGGAAAATAAAATAATTCTCAAGGTGAAATATCCTAAGTAAAGGTGAGGTGCACACTGATTAAATTACTTCATCCACAAGCCGGATGCAGTCTACACCAGAAGAGGAAAATGAACTTGTATCACTAAAATTCTGATCAGTGCTGTTCTCAGAAGGTCTCATCTACGCTCTGTCCTTGCAACTTCAGCCTACTGGCTATCCCTTCTCTGTGATAACTCACTGGACAAACACCTCTTTAACAGAAAATGACACTGGTGGTTTTTGCTGAAGCAAAAATACTACAAACAACACAGGGAAAGCCAAGGTGCTGTAGGAAATTTGTATTCACAGTTATGACATTTCCTTCTCTTACACGTGTCTCTTTCTGTGTACTAGGTACCGTTTAGCCCCTGAACACAAATACCCTGCTGCGTATGAAGACTGTCTTACCGCTACCATACACTTCCTGAAGAACACAGAGCACTACGGCGTGGATCCTGCCAATGTCATCGTCTGCGGGGACAGTGCTGGGGGCAATCTAGCAGCTGCTGTTAGCCAGACCCTCGCAGGTAGATCAGACCTCCCCAAACTACGTGCGCAGATCCTGATCTACCCAGGCCTTCAGGCACTGGACTTCAATTTACCATCCTATCAGCAGAACCAGGGAGCCCCTCTCTTATTCCGAGAACGTGCCGCTTTCTTTGCTTTGCAGTACCTAAATGGGGATGCACTGCATATGCAAGAGGTCTTGGAGGGCTCTCATATTCCTCCAGATATGAGGCTGAAGTACAGGAAGTGGGTGAGTCCAGATAACATCCCCGAAAAATTTAAGGTCAGAGGCTACAAACCACACAAGCCCCATGAATTCAAGGCTGAACTTTTTGAAAAAGTGAAAAGATTCTGTGAGCCCAACCTGTGTCCGCTGTTAGCTGAAGATGCTATTGTTCAGCGGCTGCCTGAGTCTTTCATCTTGACCTGTGAGTATGATGTGCTACGAGACGACGGCTTGCTTTACAAGAAGAGATTGGAGGACAATGGTGTTCCAGTGACCTGGTACCACCTTGAGGACGGATTCCATGGAGTCATAAGCCTACATGATTATTGCGGTTTCTCATTTCCAGCTGGGAAAAGGGGATTGGACAGAATTGTTAAATTCATAAGAGGCCTGTAAAAACAACTTTCCCTCTTTATGATTTTCCCACTAATGTCTCTGTTTAGGCTCCCAAACACCAGGTAGTACTTGTCAGCAAAAAATGTGATATCCTTTGATGTGTAAAATACCAGTTTTGATATTCATGAACTTCAAATACTGTCTCAACATTGTTTTTTGTCCTCGTGAGACTATTGACAGTTCTGTCTGTACAGTTTTAATATTTTCCACATATTGTGTTTCCATCCCTTTTCTTTCAAATCAGCATCTGATTGATTCCTTGTATTTAGTTACCAGATGATTTACTTCTATGTAAATAATGTCTGTGGAATGATTTGGATTAAATAACTCCTGTGATTACAGTCAGGATCTTTGTGATGTCCATTTGACAAGCTCCAAAGCATGACTTTATTTAGCTAAAAAGTAAAAAGTTTGGTATGTAGTGAGCTGGAGGGAAGAATGAGTGGAAAGCTCTGGAAAAACAGGCCAAGACCAAAGTCTCAGTGGAGAGATTCAGTGTATATTCAGCGGGCACGGCAGAACCACATCTGCGAGAGCAGCAGCACCAGGCCTGGGTTAATTGGGGACACCTTGCTGAAGGCAAGAAAGGGCTGCCCTGATTTTGAAATAACTGTAGCTCTACAAACTCCTACTTAATTTTGGGATGTCTCCATTATACCCACTGAAGCTCCAGGGCAAAAGATACTGGTTGAGAGGGAATACTTACATCAGGTTTTAGAAAGACAGTAAGGATCAGTGAACTGACTCTTGAGCTGTGTATACCAGAAGGTTTAGGCTAAAGAGAGAGAAAATATGAACCAAAATGTTTTCATGTTGTTTCAGTGAGTGGTTCTCTGTTTTTTGGGGGTTTTTTTTGTTTGTTTTGGTTTTTTTAGAATTTGTGCTGTGATGTCTCTCCATGTTTTGAGTTTTCTTTACAAGACAAGGCAGTATATTCCTTGACATGATGCTTCATTATACTCTGCTGATGAAAGCAAGGAATTACAGCAGTCAGCATACTCAAATAGTAAGACTGAGGAAATGAAAATTGTAAGGAAAAAAAAAATCCCAAGACTGAGGATATTAGAATTTTTTACAAAAAGAGATGCTGCCTTCCATTTAGATTTCAGTGTGCAAAGGTAGCCAGCCCTTCCTTTAGCTTCCCGCAGGCTGCTTTTAGACAAAGAATCCCTAAATTTCAGCACAAACGACACACTCCCAGCGATGTGAAGCCGAATCCGCCAGGAACGCAGGTGCCCATCAACCCCCAGCGCTGCAGCTTCCCCATCTCCTTCCAAACTGCAGCACCACGGCGCCTGAGCCGGGGGCTCCCCGCCCGG